ACATCTGGTGCTTTCACATCAATATCTGCCTTGGGATGGTCAATATCAACATCAACATCTGGTCCTTCTACTTTGGATCCTTTCATTCCAAATGACGGCATTTTAAATTTAGGCATTTTTAATCCACCTTTGGGGCCCTCAATATCAATATCTGAACTTTCAATGTCCACATCTGGTCCCTCAATATCTCCTTTCATCTCTGGTAGCTTAACATCCACATCACCTTCAACTTTAGGGCCTTTGAAATCTAATGATGGCATTTTAATGGAAGGCATTTCAAATCCCCCCTTTGGCCCTTCAATATCAACTTCTGGACCTTTAAAGTCAACTTCAGGTTTTTTAATGTCTGATTTTATCTTTGGAGCTTGAACATCCACATCACCCTTGAATTTTGGGCCTTTTAAGTTGAAATCAACATCAGGCATGGATATCTTTGGTCCAGATATGCTGGGCATGTTGAATTTGGGTCCTTTCACATTTACATCCGGTCCTTCAATATCTACATCTGGTGCTTTCACATCAATATCTGCCTTGGGAAGCTCAAGATCAATATCAACATCTGGACCTTCTGCTTTGGATCCTTTCATTCCAAATGATGGCATTTTAAATTTAGGCATTTTGAATCCCCCTTTGGGGCCCTCAATATCAATATCTGAACCTTCAATGTCCACATCTGGTCCCTTAATATCTCCTTTTATCTCTGGTAGCTTAATATCCACATCACCTTCAACTTTAGGGCCTTTCAGATTAAGATCAACTTCTGGAACATCAACTTTCGGGCCTTTGAAATCTAACGATGGCACTTTAATAGAAGGCATTTGAAATCCTCCCTTTGGCCCTTCAATATCAACTCCTGGACCTTTAATGTCAACTTCAGGTGTTTTCATGTCTCCTTTTATCTTTGAAGCTGAGACATCTACATCACCCTTAAAATTTGGACCTTTTAAGTTTAGATCAACATCCGGCATGGATATCTTTGGCCCAGATATGCTGGGCATATTGAATTTGGGTCCTTTCACTTTTACATCCGCTCCTTCAATATCAACATCTGGTGCTTTCACATCAATATCTGTCTTGGGAAGGTCAATATTAACATCTGGACCTTCTACTTTGGGGCCTTTCATTCCAAATGATGGCATTTTAAATTTAGGCATTTTGAGTCCAGCTTTGGGCCCCTCAATATCAAAATCTGGCCCTTCAATGTCCACATCTGGTGCCTTCATATCGCCTTTAAACTTTGGCAGTTTAATATCAACATCCCCTTCAACTTTTGGACCTTTCAGTTTCAGGTCAACATCTGGAGCATCACCCTTTGGACCTTTGAGATCAAAGGATGGCATTTTTATGGAAGGCATTTCAAGTCCTCCCTTTGACCTTTCAATATCAACTTCTGGACCCTTTATTTCAATACCTGGTGTATTAATATCTCCTTTTAACTTTGGAGTTGAAACATCTAAATCACCTTTGAATTTTGGGCCTTTTAAGTCTAAATCAACATCTGGAATGGATATGTTTGGTCCAGATAGGCTTGGCATGTTAAATTTGGGTCCTTCCAGTTTTGTGTCTGCCCCCTCAATGTCAACATCTGGTGCTTTCATATCAATATCTGCATTAGGAAGGTCCACATTAACATCTTGACCCTCTACTTTGGCACCTTTGATTCCAAATGATGGCATTTTGAATTTTGGACCCCCTTTCTTGCCTTCTAAGTCAACAATTGGACCTCCAATGTCTACATCTGGACCCTTTATATCTCCTTCTATGTTTGGCAGTTTAACATCAACACTCCCTTTCTGGCCTGTTAGGTTAAGTTTATCTGTAACACCACCTTTTGGACCTTTTAAGTTTACTGATGGCATTTTTATAGAAGGCATCTCACCCTTTGACCCTTCAGTATCAATTTCTGGACCTTTAATGTCAATTTCTGTTGTTTTAATGTCTACTTCTGTCTTCGGTGTTGAAACATCCATGTTACTTATTATTTTTGTACCTTTCAAGTTGAAATCAACATCCGGCATGGTTATCTTTGCTCCTTTCAGTTTTGCATCCTGTCCTCCAAAGTCAACATCTGGTGCTTTTACATTAATACCTGCCTTTTTGAAGTCGATATCAATATCTGGGACATCAGCCTTTGGACCTTTTAAGTTAACTGATGGCATTGTAATTTGGGACATGCTTTTTCCTTCAGTGTCAACTTTTGGACCTTTTATGTCAATTTCTTTTGACACTTCTGTGCTGCCTTGACCAGGGGTTGTGGTGTTTAATGATGATATCTTTACATTAGGCCTTTTAAAACTGACTTCTTCTTTGCCAGACTTTAAATCAGAATTGGCAATTTCTACTTTGGTTCCTAATGTTTTACCTAATATAGTTTGTGTTTTTGACTCATCTATGCTTCCAGCTTCATCTTCTTCAGTTTCTCTGAAGACTTTAGAGCCTTCATGGCCTATTACTCCAAAGTTAGGTCCTTTAAATCTGACATCCTTTGACATTATAATTGTCTTTGACTGATCTCCACTACTACCCCTGTGTGTTTCTGATGAGATACCTTTAGCTCCAGTGTGGGTCACACTGTATGGTTCAAAAACACCCTCTTCTGCCTCCACTTTTGATAAAGGGCTTCCATGCAAGATTCTGACACGTGGAGAGCCATCTCCAGATTCATGTCTTTGTCCTTTGAAGTCTGGGCTTGAAAGTTCTAGTTTCTCACTTACACCACTTGGCATTTCCACTGTGTACGTAGTGATACGTCGAGTGATGGTTGTAATCGTACTGCCATCACTGCTGGTGCTGCTATGCCGCTCTGTACGAACATCCACTCCCTCTGCAAGGTCTTCAGATTTCAGCCTCGGTTTAATTTTTTTTGTGTATATCCTCTTGTAGTCCTCATCCTCTCCACTCTGTATCAGAATACAAATAGGTGTATTATGATATAGAGAACAGGGTCATATTTGATATAGCAATGGTTCAAAGTATCTCTAAATGTTTGGTTAATAAATGATCAGCTGAATAATAAAACTTACCAGAATTACTTCTGGACTGGATCCTCCAAACTGTGTCTTCCCTTCCCATGTAAGAGTTCCCATTGGAGAACGACATGGTGTGTTCAATGGTGAGTAGCAAGGGGATTTATCACCTTTGTTTTGTAGCTTTAGTCCAACTTTGTGTTTGTTCAATGTTTTCAGTAAATCTGCTGTCTCTTCTGAGCTCATATTTTCAAAGTAGATAGTTGCACCAACGATCTGATCACCTACGAATGAGCATGAATGTTTGCTTTAAAAAATCAAGTGTATAACACAATGCCTGGTGAAAGAAACAACTTCACAATTGATGAAAGACACTACAATAATGTACTACCTTCATATACTTTTCCAGATCGTGCTGCAGGGGACTCTCCTTTCACCTCCTTGACTAAGAGCTCCCCTCCACTTGTGTGTTCAATGGTCAAGCCAGTTTTATCAGGACCCTCCCAATCCTGAAAGAGTACTTCCCTGGTATCATCTTCGTCAGCCATCTGTAAAAGGTGATCAAAACACATGTACAAATACAAATACAACTTTAAAATGAATGTTTAGAGACTCCTTTGAAATCATATCAAGTTTGATGTTTGGCATTTTTTTATATTTTCATTCAACTGAAAAATTACAGTATTTACAGAACAATAAAAACTCTGGAAAAGGAAAAGATATTGTTTAGGTTAGCATCACCTTATCAATGTTGTAGTTTTGGGCCTTTTCGTGTCAACTGATTTAGGTATTCTGAGCCTGATTTTTCAGTCTCAAATAAATAGATGTAGATACTATGATGTTACCTTTATTTGTTTTCCTGTAATCCAGCCCTGGTGAGAGAAAAATAGTGATGCTGTTTTCCTAAAGAAAAAAAAAAAAAAAAAAAAAAAAAAAAAAAAAAAAAAAAAAACGAAAAGAATGAGAAAAAATATATTCAATAATTTATTTCAAGTATTTCTCATTAGAACAAAAAAAATGTGATAAAGATAAACTGGTTCAAAAGACCCACATATGAACACTAGGTGGTGTTAAATCTCAATTGACCACACAGCTTCCACTACCTAAAAGAACCATAGTGCCAACTACCTTCTTTTGGAATAATGCTGGGCTATGTTTTGTAAATTTAGGTGGAGTAAGACCACACCTTGCCCTGTGGAAAGCATTCAAATCATATGCCTACACCAAGCTCAATAAATTAAACAATGATGGTGTTCAGCTTTACAGAAACATACACTGCAGAAAGCTGAGCAGAGAACATACATGTTCCCAAATATGTGAATGTAAACTATTATTTTTGAAAATAAATAATCAGATTGACAAATGGTAGTGGAAATCAAGTAATTGTTCAAATTTATTGTTTATGTAAATTGTTTCTGTCCCTTCATGTAAGTAAAGATTGTCTTCCTTTCCTCCTGTAAAAATCGGGTTAGACTGTTTGTGGAAATTCTGTCTTGAGATCAGATTCATTCATAACAATTTCAAATTCATGTGAGTAAATAAAAGGATATTTAGGAGGGAATACATTATTGATTTTATTTGATTAAAAAAAGGTAAAATTATACATTTTCTTTAAAGTCTCTCTCTTAGCTATAAGTATAATCTAGATCCATGAGACAATAGTGAAACATTTTGAAAGGTGTGTCTTTCATAACATTTGGTATATAGTAAAGAATATTTCAGCGTCAAAACTTATATTGTATCATGCAACTTCAAGAACTTTAATGAATAGTCATAACTGATCGAAAAATGACATGTACTTTCTTGTAAAAAGCCTTGAATGAGATTGTTCAGCCATCAGCTATTAACTTTAAGTCAAGCTCATGGTATATATGGTTTATGCTAGAGGACAATGCTCAGAAGCACTCTAGCAAATCCACCTTTAAATTAAAGGTTTTGAGGTGAACTAGCCAAAAAAAAGACTTATATCTCTGGAGTGCCAGGATTCAAAACAAGTAACTCAGACTGAAAACAGTCTAGTTTAATTATAAAGAATTCTGCAAAGATGAGTGTCAAAGTTCTTTCAAATCAATATTAAAAGGTCTGTAACCAGTTATCACAAATTTTGATGAAAGTCATTGACATGAAGGTAAGCACCAGGCCTGGAGGGGTTAATTGGAAGGACCTGGAAAGTTCCAGATGGGCCGGTCTTATTTTTGGGCCACAAGGGCTCTTGATGTTTTTTTTTTGTATTCTGTGAGTAGATCCCCTGCATGTCTACCACCATCCCTGGGCTACCTCAGCCTACACTGACAGCTTTTTTTTCCCCTGATGCAACATGTCGGTGCACTCAGACGGTCAATGGTGTCTTTAAGTTGGAGGGTAAACGGAGCAAGGATGGCGCAGAAAAAAATCAACATTAAAGAGAAAAGCTCTGGAAACAGACGCTGCTAAATGTACAAAAATTGACAGTTTTCTACTTGGAACTTTGAAAGACAGAGAGAATGGGTAAGGCAAGTTGTTGAACTTTGCTTGCCAACCACTGAACTCGTTAATCATCAAGTCATTGTATTGTGTGGTGCTGTGGAGAATAATTTAATGTTATATAGTTTAAACATAATGCAATGCTGCATAAATGGGAATATTTGTCTTGTAGCCCCTGAGTCAGTGGTACTATACAGCGGCACCAGTACCAGATTAGTCTAACTAGCTTTTGGGGCACTGTTGAAGGGTAAAGATGCACCTTTACACAAGTGAATTAATAGACTGGCTCTGAGACCCTGCGGACACAGGGATGCATGCAATGCTTTGAGGTAACCTTAAACCTTGTTAACCTCTCTGTTTAAAATAGCCTTTTTCCAATAGCCTGGAATAAGTAGCACACCCAAGGACTGAGTTGCACACCCCACCACCAATGAAATGTATGTTAGTTTAGAGTGGCTTAGTGTTTATGATACAGATAAAACTAAATGTGAGTACAACTGCTTAATTCTTCCCTTCTTCAATTTATCTCACTCTGTGTATCCCCACTAAAGTATCAATTTAACTCTTTGTTGTGTCACTATGGAGAAGATAAAAAACAGTGTTATGGTTAACTTTAGCCAGAAAAGTGAAGTATTTTTTTTCTTAGATTAAATGCACTTAAAGCATAAATATACTGCTAAACTAAAAAGTATTAAAAAAACAATTCTGTTCACTTTGTTTTTAACAAACACAATTAAACGTGTGTATATCCCAAACATCTACATCCAAACTTCACTAGTATAAATATATATTTTTACGCTTAATGCTTATTGCTAAAGAACCTATTAAGAAACTCAAACATTTATTTTTGTATTTTTATCTCGAAATTTCACTCTAAGGACACTCTAAGGACAAGGCCCATGAATCAACTTTGTATCCATATTTGTTTCTCTATCTAAATCTTTCAGTAAATCTTTCAGATGCATTACCGCAATGCACAGGGTCCAGTGGATATGATTCTTTTACTCTTTTTTTCCCCCCTTTTTTCTGTGAACAAACTTTGTCTTGGGTACCCTTCCTTTACTAATCCTTGATATATTTTAGGGCAATTTATGGTTTTTGATTACACAAAATAAGATTTGAAAAATGGTAATCCATAAACTTGATCTAGGATAATCACATGATTTGATAGAGAATTTGCTCCACATTGGGTGAATAAATACGGCTTTGTTCTCGAAATCATAAGACAAGCATGCAGTGGGTGACTCTAACTGTTCAGACAACATGACATTCAAATTAACTTCCCTCATAAGATGTGTTTTTTTATAACTAAGAGCTTTGAAGCAAACCATAAATGATGTGACAATGAAAGCAGGGGGAGTCTGACAAGCTTGTCTGTCATGTTTTATTACGATCTGGTATGTGTGCTGGGAAGAGGGGGCGTGGGGAAGCTAGACAGACTGAAGCTTCTGATAATAAAGCGCAACCACAGAAAATTCTGGGTGTCCATGCCTTCTTGTTTACCCACAAGAAGTTGTTCATATTTTTATTTTGTTTTTAAGGTTTTGTGTGGAACCCAAGTAAACAGCACAACCTTGGCAGGCTTATGAGCTGTTTTATAAGAAGGCTTTAAGTTGAACAGGTGGTCTCTTGAAGAGGAGCCAAATGTCAGGCAGCAATGTTTTACACAGCTAAACAGAGCAGCCATGACCATTAAGGTTCAAAGGCGGCCTTAAAAAAGACAATGCAAAAGTAGTTTTTCATCCAGTCACATAACAGATTGTTAGAGTGGTGAGATTAACAGTATGTAAGTTAACTTTCTTTGAACAAGTCAAGGGTGTTGTGAGACAATCCCTGACATGTTTGAGGACACATACCTTGGACTGCTCAAGCAAATCAAAGGGCTTCAGTCTGCTTCTTGTATTCTTCTTTTTTTACTTCTGTTAGAAAACAATACAAAACAGAATTGGGGTTAGTGAGGAATTTGTAAACATACTTCTAAATAACCTTAATGAGGTTAAGGCTGCAAAAAAGTCTGTCAATACTCCAGCAGGATAACAAGATGCCTTCTTCAGTTACAGTACATAGGTAAGAAAATTACATTGGTGTTGCATCACGAGATGCCTCAGTTAAAGACACAATTCTTTAAGGTTTTTCTGGATAACTCATATGATGATTAATCACCAAGTAGAGACCTTCATGCTCAAAGAACCAGCAATACCAATACTGGCCCAGCTAACTAAGCATGCAAAAATGCCTTTTGCATAAATCTAAAAACCTGCATCTTGTGGCCCTTTTTTTAGGATGTAGGGAGAAAAGTTGACATCTTTTCCACTAAATGTTATGGTTAAGTTTAATGTTAAACTTAATTTTTTCTGTTTTATTTTTATTGTTGAGTTTGTGACTGAGAAGTAGAAAACCATTGAGGGCCAGTCACGGGATCCCAGCTGGCTTTAAAAATCAATTGTTGCAGCATTCACATTTATCATTCTGATCTTCAGCTTCAGTAGCCAAGTCAGTCTTCCATCTACCTGCCTCAACTAGCCGGATTTCTTAAAGGTCTTATGCGGATTCATCATGTCAACATTGTGACATATTGTGAAACAAAGCCTTCTTTTTGTGAATTAGAGAACAAACAGAACTCAGCTTGCTGCGAGTATAGAAAGGCATCTATCAGTGGGAACATGTCGATATTGTCAAATAACTCCCTAACTCTCTTATTAAAGTTCTTCTGGACAATATCCTATTTTCATTGTAAGCCACTCTGTCCATTACTTAGATTTAAAAAATGCTAAATAGCAGGGTTTTTCAAGAAAAAAACATTCTCTCAATAGTCATGTGCTAAACTTTTTGTGCAATGCACCTTAATACAAATAAAATAAAATGTAACTTAAAAGCCATGATTTGACAAAGAGACTTCTTGTTGCTTATTTATCTATTTTACCAATTAATATCACAAGCTTAATTTTTGGTGTTCCAAATTGCTGATTTAAACATATCCGGTACTCAGTACTCAGTTATATTTGTGTTGGGATACACACAGCAGCTGTGTACACTTTCCAGTCCATCCTCCTGTTACAGAAAGGTGTGAATCAGACGGCCTTAGGAAGAGTCATTTGGATACTGTCTGACTAAACCCTTAAAATACATGAGTAACAATCTAATAAATAAAATGGGATGGAAGTAAGCTCAATCATTAATCTCCAAAGAGGTTCCCACAGCATTTTTTAGCCTTGGTTATACCCAAACCATAAGATTTGATGCATGCACCAGTAGTGAGAATGACCTAATAAAAAAATTACATGGAACTGCGCATAGAGACAGTATATTACACAAGACAGATGAAGAAAATGTTGCTTTGCCTATATGTTGCTTGCAGAGTGAGGCGCTTACTGTGCAACCCCACCCAGGCCTCTAGTCACACACATTCCTTGATAGAGCTGTCAGGCCAACTGGAAGAGAGCCCAGCCTCTCCCTACAGTGACTAACTGCACAGAAATGTCCCTCTTTCTCTCTCACACTGATTCCAGCTTCATTGCTTCCCGCCCACCCCATACTCTGCTCAGTCGCTCCCACCTCTGCAAGTGGGCCCACCACACCCCCTAAAATTCTAGGTTATACACAGATAAACAAGAGCCCCACTTCCAGCTGGATATGTGATCCAAATGGCACAAAACAGCATAATTTCTATAAACTAACACAAGGCACCAACTGGTTATCATTTAACTTAAATCTCTGATCATATTTTTGATAAGAATATCTTTTAGAGGCTTTCAGTTTCATTTAAACCAGTTTTCCAAACTCCTGCAGCACGTATCAGTTTAGCCGTCATAATTTTCACATAAGCAGGTCACAATGTGGCGAAAAGTGATGAAGGAAATGAAAGCTATTCGGCCTGTTTGATTGCCAAATCTAATCAATTTGGTGCACAGAGAAGGGAAGCAATGTGACACTTATTACATCTCACTGCTTAGTATATATCAAGCACAGTAATGTTGAGGAAAGATAAGATTTGATTATGAGCAAATAGAGAAAGTCCTGTGAGCAGTGAGACAAAGAGGGGACTTGGAGAAGTGAGCAAATAAGTGTTGTTGTCAAAACAGAATGGTCTCCCTGTTTCCTTTTGCCGCATTGGTGTTTGACGCAGCAAGTAAAACAAACACAAAAAGAGACTCAGCAGGCCTCAGCCTGCGGTCATTCCTCAAAGAAGCAGATAGGCTATGCATGTATGACACATATAAAAAGGAATGACCATCAAAATAAATGGTTCCTTTCTGCTCGCAGTGCTCCCATTCCCCGAAGAAAACCACAAGTCCTGTATAAGACCAAAGCCTGTCTGCTGACACCAGAATGGTTGGCTGCTTGTTAAACTATTGGAACTTTGGCAGGAGTCTGACAAATGGAAAAACTAAGAAGTCCTTCTCTTTCTTTTACAACATCACAAACAAGATCAACTAATTCATCTAATTATGTCTGTAACTCAGTCTTTGGTGCTATGTCATAACCAATGGAAAACTCAGACCTATGTATCTTACATTAGATGAGGAGGAATGATGTAACTGAGAGCTCCCTCCTTATTTGAACTTTGTTGTGTGTCCCACCTGCAGACAACAAAGCGGGGCGTAGGCGGCTTGCTTTAAATATTCTCTCATAAATGTTTCCTGCTTTTTTTTTTTTTTTCATATGTACATCCATTTTTCAGGAGGTTATTTCCATCCTTTTAAAGAAAAGTGTTAAAACCAATTGTGCTCATGACACAAGTATAAACATTCCTAAGTTGTATCAAAGGGGAAGAAAGTGAAATAAAATAACAGTAGATAACAACAGCATTAAAGGTATTTAAAAGAAAATAGCTTTAGGTTTGTTTTCTAAATTATGAGAAACAAAATGCCTTTTCCTACCTATGCATACATAAAAAAAACAATGCTTTTTTATGACATACCTAGTAACATCAAAAAGGCAGAAAGGACAATGCATTTTAAAACAGGATCATACTCATAAAAAAGCATACATATAAGGGTATGCATGTTTTTCAGCTTTAAGGCAATTAATTATCAAAATGTTTAATCTTACCTCAACTGGTGTTTAAAGTAAAAATAATGTAAAGCCCTTGACGGAACAGAGGACAAAGGGATTATAAATAAAGCTAGGTGGCAACAGAATGTATATGTTTATAGATACATACATTTCTTAGCTACTGAATTCACAGCCTAAGCAAAGTCCATGATATGTATTTGTATAAAGAGCTTTGAGTTAAGATCTGTTGAACTTAAGACAGCATTTTAGACGACGAGCTGAGCCAACCTTGACTGAAAACCTAAACAACATTGAATGCATTCCAAACGTTGCATTCCGTGCCTTGCTCGCTGAAATACTGGACCCCATTCCTTCCTACTAATAGTTTCACTAACAGATGCTGCATGTTGCTCCTTGCATGAGGAAACATGACAGGTTTAAAAGCGAGGAGCCAGGTAAGATTGTACAGTTAAGCAACACTTGTATAAGATTTATTGTTCTGGATGATTCTGTGGAACAGATGTTTGGATGAGCAGCAGTGCAAGTTATAAAGTTATGAGCGCAAAAGAAAAAGGCTGCTGAAAAAGTTTCAGCCAAATAATAAAAAAAAACTACTATAAACAATTATCAACTGAATGCACATGCGTGGGGGAGACCTTTTCTGACTGGATCATATTTCAAAACACAATTTTTCAGTGATAAGACAAGCAAGAGTAACAACAAGGGCTCCTTAGGATCCAACAATCCAAACCAACGCTGGATAGGTGAAAAGGGAGTGGCTGCTGTGTGGATTGCCAAAAGAAACTTCCCAAACGCACATTCTGAACTTATCTGTAACAGAAATGGCACAAAAATGTACCTCTAAAATAGTGTCTGCTGGAGATGTAGTACTCTAGGATCAAGTGAAAAACAAATCCACAGATTTCTCTTCTTTCCTCTTTTTCAGAGCATTTGTCTACCTTCTTTTTAATATGTCAACTCACAAAGCTTCTTCTTGCAACCGCCCAGTCAACAAACCCTCAAGGAAACAGCAAAGGAAGTGTGCTGAAGACCAGTTTCCTTAAGTTTCACTCTGGAGAGCATTAGAAATATCACTTCTCTCGTTCCTGTTGTCAATCAGCAGCACCCAAACAGAGCGTGCAGCTGTATCTGATGTAGCGACCTGACAAACGGCTTAATACAAGTCAGAGTTCTCAGCAATCATAAGACACAGCCTTCTCACTGGGCCTCTAAAGGGGCACAGTAAACCAACTTAGCATGAGAAAAACTACAAACTGTCAATAAAGACATACAAAAATGTCATCTTGTGGTATTCTTGGTATGTTTTTTTTTTTTTTTTTTAAGATAACACAGTGTGCTGCTGCATTTGGAGATGGTGCATGTTTGAACAAACAGTATCCGCCCTTGGCTATGATGGGGCCCTTTTAACTAACAAGCATTTCAGCACCTAACGGTTGGAACAAAATATTTCACAACCTGACAAGGCCTCACTATCCTTAATTTTAAGTCCATGGCTGCTCAGTTATTTTCAAACCAACTCAAACATCTTTTTTACTTTCTTAGCTAAAAGGAAACAACAGGAAACAACAGAACAGCTCAAAATACTTTTTAGATCACTGTGACAATTTGGCTGTTTCAGTAGTGCTTGTTTCAATCAATCAACTTGACAAGAACAATTTGAGACCTGCCAGACATTTACGGCTGCGGGGCACTAAGCGTTAGTTTGGCATACGTGGTAGAAAATGGTGAACAGGGTGGAGCAAAAAGCAGCTCAGAATTTTTGGGTGTGGCAGTGGAGGAGCTGTGGACGACGGGCAACGGTACGCGTTGAAATCTGAATGCTAAGTAAGGTATAGCAAAAAAAAAAATCAGTGTTCTTTTTTATCTAGTCTTGTTTCCACAATTCAAACAGTGCTTCATCTCAAGCATGGTGAGGAGATTAAGTAGCAATGTATGTTTAAACATAGAAGAATATGAGGTTCACATAGATCATCTGAAAACGTCCAAGTTTGGATTTCTGAAAGAGTTTTCACTCATCCTCCCAAAGTGCTAAGTCGTTGCTCCCCTTTTCTATGCCTCAAACCTGGTTTCAATTAGCTTGTCTTTTCCAAACCACTACATTCCATAACTCCCCTCCTCACCCCAGAACCGCCCACCCCCTCACCAACACGCTCTCTGACTCTCTCTCCCTGTCTTCCTCCCGTCTTTTCCCCCCATACACCCTGGCATGGAGCCCAGGTTAAGTAACCCAAGTTGGGGGAAAAAAGTATATATTTTTCTCTGGTTTAGTGTTTTCAATGTATGCTTTTAAGTTAATATTTGCTATAAAAAAAGACTACACAGACATTCCATGTTTCATAAAAAACATCTATAACAAAAAACCATAAAACAAAAACTTAAAAGAGAAAAGTTAACATCAGTCAACATGCCCCCTTATGTATACTCAGGATGTTGAAAGAGTTCAACTACAACTGCTATAGTGTGTATGGGCTGCTTTTTTTTTGTCTGTAAAAGGGTGCGCCTCTCTACAGAGACAAGAAGGGAGAGGAAAAAAAAAAAAAGAAGTAGGAGAAGGGAGGTGAAGGAGAGAGATCCACACCCAAACTTGTTGCTGCAGGCTTTAAAAGGGAAGTACCTTCACTTTTCGCAACATAACAAAAGGTGGAGTAAGAAAAATGAAAATGAAAAATTAAATCATAAACGCAACCTGATTATTTTCTATCCATTTACTGGAACATAATTTCAACTGGAAAATCCTTTTTAGAGTTATTTTCTAGCAATGAGGATACAGATTTTGCATACATGTCATATGTATGTATGCAGAGATGCATTTAATTATCTAACCAGTTCAGAATTATTCATCTTATAGATTCCCTATCTTTATTTCTGAAATAACTTACATTTTTGAAAAGGTTTATTTAAAACTTTTGTACTTGTTCTACCTCTATTAAGGTAAAATAAAGTGCGCCACTGCAGTTGGAACCTCAGCATTCATGTAGCTGCGAGTACACACCCACTTTTAATTTAAATGAGGTTTCAAGTGTGCAATGGGATCCACACCTATTTTATTTTACCTTACACAAAAAAGCAGAAATACAATAAAAAAATCAAATCTTCACAGAACTTTCTTTAGAAAAATAACCACTTCTTTTTAAAATACCACAATATGTGAGAGTAGATTAACACATTTCATAAAGCAGGGCACTGTCAATGCAATCTTACAGCAAACACTAAACAATCAGTCGACAGTCGACTCTTGATAAAATAAAGCTATGCAGACTGATAAAACAAACACTTTTGCAACTAAGCTGTTAGAATTTATTGAACTACTTAATCTGATAGCCTGATAACTATAAAGTAACAAAAAAGTTTGCTAAACTTCACAGTACCCTAAAAAAGGAAATAAATAAAAATACATATATATATAAATTCCTTACCTGTGCGCAATCTTTGCGCCAAAGAAGCCTCACACCCGCTTGAGCATCCTTGAAAACATGTCTTCTCACCTTCGCCCCAAGTAGAGCACTTTGCACACTGCCACAAGTTTGCAGTCTGTCAGGAGTCTGTCTCTGTTTTCCTATTTCTTTACCAGCTAGACTTCCAGGGCGTTTTCTCTCCCCTCCTCCCTCTATCCCTCCCTTCTCTGAGTTGATTTAAGCCTCTACTTTGTTTTTTGTTTTTTTTCCTCCTCTGTGTGGCTTCTACTCTGAGTTAAGCCAAGTGGTTGGACTTGGTGCTGGGTAGGGCTCCTCGTTCACAGAGGGAGGGGACTGCAAGGGAGGGGACCTGTAGAGGGAGTGGCCCTCAGCACTGGGACCACCCACTGTTCCACATAAAAGGCTCTAGAAACATGCACAGAGAGGGCCTAGTTCTACTTCATGGAAGAAAGGAATATTAAACTATGCTAAGTGCACTCCAAATCAACAGCTCTAAATAGTGAACATCCATGTAAAATCACCTTAATATCAGTTAATAGCATATATAGTGACACACACACAGTATAACACAGCACATCGTAGGTATCATATGACAGACAATTGCATAAACATGTTATTAAACCTCTGAAATCACTGTACACAAGCTAATACAATGTTATTGTTAACTAAATAATTAGTTGCAAAAAAATCCATGTAAATTTTAGTGTGAGCTATTTAAATTACAAAACCATTGTAAAGGCCAATTTATCTTCATTGAAGCAGATCTTCTATAGCAGAAAATGGCCACTGTAATGGTAGTTCATGTTTCAAAGATTATTATAAAACTCTGTAATTGTTAGAGTAACTCTAGAGTAACACTCCCCATCTACCAGACCACTGTCATTCGAAAATGTGAAAAGTGATTAAAACCAATAGTTTACTTCAAGCTCCAATACAAAAGCAGGAAATATAAATAAGGCCAGTTTTCAGTTAAACACTTGGAAACTGCTTACAGTTGTGGAGTTTTCCATACATTGGAAAATAAAAGGAAGGTATTATGCAATATAAGAAATGTTCATGTTCAACAACAGCTCTGCAGAAAAGATCACCCGGGGTTATCTGCACATATTTGGCCAAGCAGCTGGGTTATACTTTAATATATCTGCTAAAGTGAATCAAGTATTTATAATTAAGTAACACAACCTTTTGTTCCACGGTTCCCAGATCGCCTTCTGTTCCATTTTGTCTAATACAACTTGTGTGGTGTTATTTGAACTGAGGTGAGAAACGGATTACTATAGGAATTATTTTGACATGTTGTAGCTTCCAGAAATTTCTTCTAACCAAAAAAATCTCCTGACCTAAATCTCATAAAGGATCCGTGGTACACTGTCGAAGGAAATCAGAAACCAGCACAAATAATAGTGACAGGTTCAAGGTTAATGTCAAAGCAACTTACACTTCCTTGGCATGTCAGCAAAGGAGCCTACATACCAGCTCACAATGATGCAGTCATTTATGTGAAAGAAGTACAGGCCAAGCACTGGGCTGTTTTACTGTCCTTTGCTTTTTATGGACATACGTTTCTGTAAAAATAATTTTAAATAATTTTAAATTCAATTTAGTTTATTTTTATAGCGCCAATTCACAACACATGTCATCTCAGGGCACTTTACATTTTACCAGACCATACAGTCAAACTGATTCAAAGTTTTATATCTAAGGAAAACCAGTTGATTGCATCTACTCATTGACTCAAAGGCAATCCCTCACACTAAGCATGCTTGTAGTGGCAGTGGAGAGGAAAAACTCCCTTTTAACAGGAAGAAACCTCCAGCAGAACCAGGCTCAGTGTGAGCAGCCATCTGCCGAATCCGACTGGGGTTCAAGGAGACAGAAGCAGAGATACAAAAAGCAGCTATAAAAGGCGGCCCAGTCCAGGGAACAAACAGCCAGGCACACGAGCTCCGAGCCAGCTCCCATGTCAGAGGATGAAGAGAGCACATCCAGCCAGTCACAGTCAGAGAAACAGGACTACACTGGAAAACAGGCAGATCTCCAACATCTATAAACAAAAGTGTTGATGGCAGCAGCACAGCTGATATTTCTCTCCAGGATGGTGTCACAGCCAAACAGGAACAGATGAGGCAAAGCTACTCTGAGAAAAAGCAGAGAGAGCAGAACGTTAATAATATTCAATTTGATAAGACACTGAACGCTGGATTTTCTTTCAATTTTAAAAAGGAACAAAAACCAATACTTTTTCATATATAGAAAACTAAGTGGGTTTTTTTTAACAGGATTATAATAAAAGGAATAACCTCTGTGTTCATATTGTAGTTCAATTTGTTTCATCGTAATTGTTATTTGTAGATTGACAATAATTATAAGAAACAGTTTATAGTGGCTTTTGTCCATAATACTCAATGAAATTATTGTGATTTGAGTTAGGTCTTTTCTGAAAAATTCAGTGAGACACTGTAATTGGTATGATAGAATTACTTATTATAAAGTTTGAACATGTGGTTTTAATAACGGTAAAGGGTGCTCTTTGTTATTCCAAATCATTTCTACTGGGCTTTTTTATAAAAACATTGATTAGGTAAATACATTTTTCTGATTTTGATCTAAATAGCTTGTGCTCCTCTGGAATCTTTTCATATTTTTTCCCCGCCTGCTGGTTTATCCAAACAGTATCTATGTATACTTCAAGCTGTCGATAAAAAAGGTCATCTTGTTCATAGATGCAGTCAATCAACTGTTGTGCCAATTGAATTTGATTCTCCTGAATTTAACCATCTGTGAAACAACCCTTTCATTGTTTTCCTTTCTATATCCTCATGCCCAACGAGTAAACATTGTTCAAGAAGCAGGAGCAGACGAAGTTGTTGCGCTGCTTTGTTGGGAGCAAACAGGGTGTGGTACAGATGCTTGGACATGTGCTTTCTCATATTTCAATACTACTGTATTACAGCACTAAAATCAAGATGACTTGTGGGGGTTACCCCCAAAAAAAGAAAAAATAACTATTAAGATCCTTCACAAAAACAGAGGCCACTGCTGGTATGTGTGGAGAAGGGTAGCTTTGACCCTATACAAAAACAAAGCCCATGTTTACAGTGGATACATGATTTCATGATAGCACAGCAAATTCAAAAGGTCCTGCAAACTCAGACTAGTGTACTCAAAGGTTAGACTAGCAAACATAAAATTCAATCAAACACAGCGCATGGAAAGGAACAATGCTGCAAGTAAAGAAAAAAACTGCAAGTTAAGAAAAGCTGCAGTCACAGAAAATAGAAAGTAGCAAAGTGGAAACATGCTGCAAACACAAAACCCAGAGCAAATACATAAATGAAGCTAACACGCAAATATATGTGCAATGGAAAAGAGCTCCAAGTAGCTAAAATTACTGCAAGGTAAGAAAAGCTGCAGGCTAGCTTTTCTTTCCACATTTTGAAGAGCTCCATTCCGATAGGGAGAGACGACGTTCATCAACTCATATGGGATCACAACATTACTACAAAATACTGTCTATGGTCCAGACCCTCAGCAAAAACATAGATGACATCTAGGGGACCATTTATTTACCTGTTTTTTTTCCAGAAGGAGAAAGAAAAGCCAAGTTCTCTATTGAAAATGTTCCTTTTACCTGTAATATTTCTTAGCCTCTAGTTTATGCCTTTAATGAGGGTCTTGTCCCATATGATATAATGATGCTCTCTTACTGGTCTGGAGTGCTTCTATTATGTGGCACTAGTTGGAAGCTTTTCTTAACTTCCAGGCGTTCTTGCTACAGGAAGCATTATTCCTTTGCATGTGTTTTGTGTGTTAGCATCATTAATGTCATTTAGGAGGATTTTGTGTTTGCAGTATATTTTCAGTTTGCTGCTCTCTATTTTTTATTATCTCCTTTGCAGCATTTAATCTTTGTATGTGATTTTATAGGTTGTTTCATTTATGTGTTTGCTAGTCTAATTTTTGAATTTGCAGGACCTTTAGAACCTGCTGCGAAAGCTTGTATTTACACTGCGTTTGCACCCTTCGGCCACTGTACATATTACCTTTGAAGACCGGTTAATTTTTTTGCTTTCAGAACAACAGGGTCTGTGATGTGTCGGCATGTAAACACCAGGAGTCTCATCAAAACTGTTTTCCTCTCAACAACTTTTGTACGGGGCTTGTTTATGGCCCCATAACAACCAGACAGTAAACATGCTCTTTACCACTCGTAAATGAAGCTTTCCTTGACAACAAGATATGAGGACACATTTGATGTTATTCATTCCCTTATCTGGATTAAATCTAAAGCAGGTCAAATGAGGCAAGATGATTTGTTGAAAACAACTCTAACAGAGGACTATAGTTCAAGGCAAAGTTTTACAGAGCAAACGTGTCTATACTTTATGAACTATTTCACATTTCATCCTGTAAAATTACTTCAAGTTTGGTGTAATTTGTTTGTCTGCCAAACACACAGTATTGTGTAACTGTGTTAAGGGAGGAAGATAAGAGATTAGTGTCCCATATTTCACAAAGAAAAAAAGTGTATTTATACATTTTCACCCATTTTTATCTTGGTACACCTAAATACAATTCTGCTATTAATCAAATTCAATTCAAAAATACTTGATTGATCCCGAAAGGGAAATAAAATTTTGTAGTAACTCAGAGGTTTTTTTTCTTCAGCTCAAAGGGCATCTTTCAACGAGTCGTTGCATGTTGATAGCAGGAGGCAGGAAGGATCTTCTATAGCAGTTATTGTTTGACATCTCCTGAAGAGGATGTTCACTGTTGTCCATAATTTTCTTAATTTTATGAAGAATTCTCCTTTGTGCAATAATCTCCACGGAATCTAGAGGAGATCCTAGAACATAGCTGGCATTTTTTCTAAACTTTTTAAGTTTCTTTAAGTCATTTGCTCTGATGCCGTTACCCCATAGATGATGGCAGAATAGCACACTCTCCACAGCAAACTTTTAGAAAACACACTGCATGTTGCTGCAAAAACTAAAGACTTTAGCTCCTTTAAGGAGTACAGTCTGCTCTGATCCTTCTTGTCGATGGCTTCACACTTGTATTTCCAGCTGAGTTTATTGTCCAGGTGAACACTGAGTAATTTGTACTTTGCCACCACCTCTACCACTTCTTCTACCATGATGTTACTAGCATTCAACATGTTCCGGTTTTCTTCTGGTATCATCTCCCTTGATTTCTTTACATTCCGGATCCATCCAGGATAACCGTTTCCATAAAATGCTACAAAATGGTCCAC